AGATACAGCAAAAAGAAAATCGAAAGGTCATAAATTTTTTTGAACATAGTCAACTTCGCCCCTCATTTCAGCTCTTAAAGTATGTAAAGCATGTTGACGTTCGCTTTAGTTTTCCTTTAATCGACATAACTTGAACTTTATTCACAAAAACTAAAATTATAGTTTAAAAAACTAAAACCTCGCTATTAAAATTTCCATTCGTACTGTCATCAGGTATGTAACTTGAGAATAGAAATCGCTGCATCTTTTAGGCGCATCAATATTACATAGTTACATCCCGAGCTAATAAAAGTGAGGTAAAAAATTATTGCGCTAAATTATATTAGATTTTAAACAAAAAATGTGATTTAGCCCATAGTGTGCCGTTCGCGAGTTTATTATTGTTTATTATTATTATTGATGTTGTGAAATTGCTTGTTGGTGGTGGCGGGAAATACAAAAAATTGTGAGCAACAAAACAAAGAGTCAGTTTATAGAGAAATCAGAGAGCATACTTTTTTGATTTTATCTTTTCTTGAGATTATACGTGTTTACTGCAGTTAGCGAGCAGCGGACATATACACTAACAACAGAATCACATATACCAGTATATACCAGTAGAAAAGGTGTTTGTTTTCGTAGCTGTTTCGTGGTGAAAGTCCTTTATGGGGACCAAATTTCCCCACAAGAAATTGAACGCATTGGACGCTTTTGCGTCCCAAAAGAATGAATATTAGCCCAAATTGACCCCGTGTTGCCATATGGCAACGCAAAATACATCATGTTTAAGAGGGTTTAAAAGAAAAACCGCTTCCGTCTATAGAGTGTAATGCAAGTGTGTTCTTTAAACAAAATTAGAAGTGACAAAAAACCATCAAAATGCCATATATGAAGAAGTAAGCATGAATTTATAGAAAGCGTTTTTTTATTTACAAAATATAATAGTGACAAAATATTAGTTAAAACATTAGTGACTCTATTGGTAACAAGTAAGAATAAAAAAAATCGTGCATGCTATATAATTTAAGGGTTTTTAAGTCCGTTGCCATATGGCAACACGGGGCGTAATGTGAACTGTTCCTCTTTTTACTAAATTTTGATATGTTCGCTAGCCCAAATTGACCCCGTGTTGCCATATGGCAACGCAAAATACCACTATGTATGAGACGGTGTAAACAAAAATCGTTCGTATGTATTTTTGCAGCTTTGCAGGTGGTTAACTCATTCCATATAGCTCTGAACTGCCAATCATATTATCGTATATTTCATTGCACAAGTGTTGAAGTGGCATACAAATGTAGTTTGTATATTCCAGGGAAAACTGGTGGCGTTTTTTGCATTCTCATCTGCTATTTCATTATCCTAGATTCCCTTGTGACCGGACAACCCATAGATATGTAGCTTTTTTCAGCGTCTAGCTTGTCAATGGCTTCCCGGCTGCGAGGGACGTTTATGGATGAAATACTATATTAGGAAACTGCCTTGATTGCCGCCTGGAATAGGTTTAAGTTTGAATTGATTGTCGTTTCGGTGAGGGATAGCTCTGTAGTTATCCTCATTGCGAAAACCTCTGCTTGAAATATGCTGCAATGACCAGGTAGCCTTATTGTCCGCCTGACGTTCAGTTCCCGGCAGTAAATCCCGGCCGCCACTCCCGTAACCATTTTAGAGCCGACCGTGAAAACGTTTAGGGATCTATGGATAGGTTTCATTTCCATCCCTCTTCCTCAATCGTTGTGCAAAAAGTTCGTTTCTACTTAAAGCTAGGTGCCAGGAAGCCTGTGCTGCTTGTGCTTCCCACCCCAATTAAGTGGTGCCCAAAGGTTCTGAAATTTAATTTCCTTATGACCGTTAATCTACGTGCGGATTTCGCAGCAGGGTTTTTAAAGAGCAGCCGTCGAAGTGGACCTCAGCGCTCCAGTGATGCACAGTGCCGCTAGGCGCTGCACCTTCACCATTGGCCCGAGGCATAAGGACTTTTGTGCGGCATTACAGCACACCAAAGCGCCATAGAGCAGTATTGGGCTGACTATTGCTGTGTAGCACCAATGCATCAGAGCAGGTGACAAACCCCAAGTGACTCCCAGCATTCTTTTATATGCATAAAGCGCGTTACTGGCCTTCTTCTCTCTTTTTTCAACATTGCGCATCCACAGAAGCTTACTCTCCAAGACTACTCCCAAATATTTTCTGTGGTCTTTAATTGACTGCTCGATGCTAAATACCTAGCATCGGGGGTCTCCACACTGGGACCTTATATCTCTTTGTGAGTACACCACTGGCCCATACAAATTGACAAAAAACTTCTTTGTGCTGTTGAAGCATGTAAAACTATAGGACGAGTAGCCTGTGCAAAATGTGATGTGGGTTTATGTTTGAAATGTTTTGGTACGGCTGACTTCCAAAACGTCAATTGCATTGCATACGTACAAAGTTTAATGTTCCATAACGCCGAACTACAATTGGTTGACAATGTACACTTTTCCAAAACCCTCCGAAAAGTTATCGAAACGCATTGCTAGCGCAATCAGCGCATCAGAAACAAAGTTGATGCTTCGATTGTTATTGGTTACCATTGGTGTTTTAAAAATGCAAAATTCCGAAATGGTGATTATTGTTTTATTAAATATTCCAAATATGCAATGTATATGGTTGCAATGTTTCGCTACTCTGCATATGCAAAGAGTTTAAATACCGCAGTAGAACAGTATCCAAACATTGTATTGGAGCGTTTTGGAAGTCAGCCTACTTTTCATTAACTTCTTCATCCGCTTTGCACGTAGCATATGCATATAGTTACCATCAATAAATGTATTAAAACTTATGCACAATGTTTCTAATTTTTTATATTTTAACCAAATACTGTCCTCTAACAATTCATCTGGAATATGCCCCGTGTTGCCATATGGCAACGGACGATATCGGAAGAACTATACTACTCCCAAAGTTTTAGTCATATTTTTTCCTTTACTTTAACGCTTCTTTTACCCTGTATATAGGTGAAACCATCTAAAAAAAAATAATCTGGGACAATTTGGGTTAGAAAACATAAAAAAAAGCCTAAGGTAATACAATTATATTCGACTAAAATTAATCACAATAATTTGCATTTATGAGTTAATGTGATAATCATGTGTAAAAACTCTTTTCAACTATTATTTTTTCACAAAATAATTTTGCGGATCAGATTTCTCGGAGCGCTTGTGTTGTTTACCAAGAAAATGCAGCCCTGTTGGTTTTTATTTCCGTATCGCATCGCGGTGAGTTTCTATTTCTTGGTAATTTGGTTTGTGAAATGGTAAACAAATTATGGAAATTTATTTATTTGATGTGTATAACATTTCATTAATGCAATTTTCTGTATTTTCAGACTATTATTTACAAGCATAGCATCATCAGCGGTGATTGCAAGAACTACTGCAATCCCTGCCGTTTTTCCTCTTGGTAAATGCGTTCTGGCCGTGACCAAGGGTGGTCTCCCTAATCGGCCGGGAATAAGGTTAGTCATTTTAAATTTTATATCTTTGTTCGTCGACATTATATGACATGTCATCATTGCAGGCTATTGTTGCAGAACAAAACGCCGCAACCACTGCTGTGGTAAATATGTTCCGGCAGAACTGCCCACCGCCGTCGGTGTAATGATTTCGATAGCTGAACAAACGCCATCTCCTGGGCATTCCCACAGCTTGCCGACACTAGCTATTATATCACGTGTGAATGCAACTGCGGCTAAATTTGGTTATTAACAGTGCAATACTACCATGTCATTGGCAAAAACACTAAGGGCTGGTGGCACATAGAGGTTGTAAAGTTTTTGGTATCGATGAACTTACCCGAAGAAGACGATGGCCGAAAACATATGATGAAACATCTTCTGGCAAGCCGTTGACAATCGTTAAGTCAGACGGAGGCTTCACATACGATATTTCACACATGGCTGGAATTCGTTAGTGGACAGAGCACACATTTACAAAATATTTATTTATCGTTATAACCGAACTTCAGTTGGTTGGCCAGTTGCTGAAATGGTATTACCGATGACAACTAGCAACTGAAAGCTGGCAACTAAGTTGCTATATTGGCAACTGCATTCTTGTGGCTGCCGGGAAATTTTGATTGAGGTACTTTATTTCTTTTTTCAACTTTTTTTTTTTAATTGTACCACCTTGAACTTTATGAAACTTAATTATTGCTATTCATAATAAAAAACATTTTCATTTCAGTGGCGCTGTCCATCGGCAACCCAACTGAGGTTCCGTTCCCATCCATAATCGATCTATAAGTCATAATCGCGCGAACTAATCAAGGCTATCATAGAATCCATCGTAGTCCGATTTTTCTTCAAAAATTAGTCCGGCGGCATCATTTTAGCCGGTTTAGACGCAACCGAGACCATTACAACGTAATGTTTAACAAGCAAGACGAAGACGACCGATAGAGTTTAAAATCGCAATCAGAGAGGTTGTCGTCTGCAGACGAATCGTTCGTTTTGCCTATCGTTCGTGATACAGAATAAGGCCCTAAGTTCGAGTAGCTATGAACGCAGCGCTTGCTTTGAATACACACGTTCATAGCAGTTCAGATTCAGTGATCGCTTTTTCGTAGATTTTAAGAAAAATCGGACTGCGATGGATTCCGCCACCAATATGTTTTCTCCTTTGACAAGATGTTGGAGAATCGCGGCAGCACAGCCGTATACCTACTTTATGCTCTTACGCGCATATGCTACATTTCTCGCACCTAGCTAAAGTGCTTGACAAAGGCAGAAGGCATATCTTTAACATTATAACTTAATGTAAAAAAGTTTAAGGCATGCAATAAAAGAATACAACAGAACCAAAAAATGTTCTCAAAACTATTAAACATAAAAAATTGCACGAATAAAATTCATAATTTAAAATAAAATATCGCAATTGTTTTTTATATGTACATACATATTTACAAAATAAATCTAAAGTACCCACAGTAAGTCCTAAACATATAAATGACTAATAAGAAAAATAATAAATAACAGTGATATGAAAAAGTATGTCGAGAAATCTCTAAATTGTAGCGGAACTGTATCTCAATAATAACAAGTAATTTTAAGCAAAAAATACAACCGACATCAATGCGCATTTAGGTCGTTCTGGTTACGTAGATCCGACTGTCCTCGCTTTTTTAAAATGGTTAAAAAAATGAATACGTATTCTACAGAAAAAAATCAAGATACATATTTAAGGATTTTAAGTAAAAATATATAAAACTTGTTCGTGATATCTCGACCAAGGTGTATTCATGATACAAAAATCTGAAGGTAAAACCGCTGAAAGGCAGGCTGAACATTTTTAAAGTTTGCTAACATTACAAAAATGCTTTCAAATTTCCAATCTCACAAATAATTTCATTTTCAGTCTCAAATAAATGCAAATTTCAATATTTTCATCTATTTTTTTTGTTTTACTTTTATTTGGCATTTAAGTTGCTATCAAAATTTCAATTTTATAAAATAGACAAACTTAAAAAAATAAATGATGGCCGACGAATTGAGCGAGCGGTTTTATCTTTAAATATTTGTATCATGGGTGTATTAAACAAGGGCCGTATCCATAAAACCTAAGCAAATGCTTTTTCTTAAAATTTCAGACCTTTCACTAAATTTTTTCAAATAAATTTAAGTGAAAGGTATGAAAATCTGAGAAAGAGTAATTGCTTAGGTTTTATGCACACGGCCCAAGGTGTGGCTCTCTTTTAAGATACTATTATGTAGAAAAATATAAACAAACGATTCAAAATTCATACAAATTTTTTTCAATTTGACTGTATAGGATAGTTCTTCTGAGAGCATGGTCAAATTCAATCACGCTTTGTTAAATACATTTTGATCTCTACCAAATAATATACTTCCTCTGTAAATATGTTATGAATTGTTCCAAAATTCGCTCCGAGCGCGTTCACTGTTGATCATTTGATTTAAATAGTTTGTCAAACAATTAATACTATAGTTTGATCGGAGTTAATATATTCTTGAGTAATTAATTAAATTATATTAAAACATAAGCTTATGAGAAATTATTTAGTTTTAATATGCATATTTTATATCGTGTTTGATTCAAATATTGTTTGTCAAGTATTCAGTAGTGAAGTTTGATCGGAGTTTATATATAATTCAGTAATTAATCATATTAAATTGAAATATAAACGTATAATATGGTAGAAAGTTAGAAATTGTTTAGTGTTAATACGCATTATTCACTGCGTGTTCCAAAATTCGCTCCGAGTGCGTTCACTATTGACCATTTGATTTAAATAATTGTTTTTCAAGCATTCAGTACTATAGTTTGATCGGAAATTATATATTCTTAAGTAATTGATCACATTTTATTAAAATATAAACGTTTAATAGGGTAGGAATTGTAAAATTATTTAGCTTTAGCATGTATAGTCGCCTGAGATAATTGCAGAAAACTGCAACTACTCGTGAAAACTTACAATAAAAGCAATGTAGATGAAGGTAATAAATATGATTATTAAAATTAGATCCATATATAAAACATTTTACATCATTTATTTGAAGTAAATCGGAATATATTTTTACGTATAAGATAGTTTCCATTTAACTCATAAAGTACATATTTCACTACAAATATTTTTAAGATCATTTCGAATTGCAAAAATAGCGCTAATTAGTTGTATTGAAGTATAAAACATTTTATTACGTTCATGTTTACTTATAAAGCGCATAACAATATTTCTCTCGCCATTTATCCGATGTTAAAATTTTTTACCACGTTATTTTGCTGCACAGCACCCTGAATGCGGCAAAACAGTTCTTTATGGGGACCAAACTAACAGCCACAACAACAAAAACCTTTTCTACTGGTATACTGTGAACAGAACAAATGAACATATGCTTTTTCTCGCTTAACGCAGCTTGGTACAATTGGCACACAGCGAACATACACACAACAGACTTTTTTATACCCGAGCGCACTTGTGCACAAGGATATAGACAAATGTATACATAAATGATCAGAATGAAAAGAGAAATCGATTAAGCGGTGACTGTCTGTCCGTCCGTCCGTCCGTCTGTGCACACGATAACTCGAGTAAAAATTGAGATATCTTAACGAAACTTGGTACGTGAACTTCTTTTGGGCGTAGGACAGATGGTATTGAAAATGGGCGAAATCGGACAATAAGCACGCCTACCTCCCATATAACGGTAATTTTAAGAAATACGAAAACTGCGATATTTTAGTAACTACTGAAGATAATTTACTTAAAATTGATTCTTACAATGATTTTCAGACGGAAAACATGAATATTATAAATTTTTGGAAAATGGGCGTAGCCACGCCCACTTATGGTTACATGTGTATATCTTGGTAACCGCAGCACCAATTTCTTCCAAACTTGGCACAGTTGTTGGCCTTAGTACAGCATACTAAATGGCTGAAAATTTTAAAAATCGGACAATAACCACGCCTACCTCCCATATAACGGTAATTTTCAGAAAAACGAAAACTGCGATATTTTAGTAACTACTGAAGATAATTCACTCAAAATTGATATTTGCAATGAGTTTTAGACGAAAAATAAGAATATTACAAAATTTTGGCAATGGGCGTAGCCACGCCCACTTATGGTTACATGTGTATATCTTGGTAACAGCTACACCAATTTCTTCCAAACTTGGCACAGTTGTTGGTCCTGGTACAGCATACCAAATGGCCGAAAATTTCTAAAATCGGACAATAACCACGCCCACATCCCATATAACGGTAATTTCGAGAAATACAAAATCTTCGATAAATCAGTAAATATTGAAGCTAATTTATTCAAAATTGATGGTTGCAACAAATCTTTACCAAGAAATACGTTTATGACAAAATTTTGGAAAATGGGCGTAGCACCGCCCACTTGTGATCACATATATGTATCTCGCTAACCGTTCTAGCAATTTGTACCAAGCTCGGTATGGTTATTGTGCTTGCCACATAAAAGCAAACCGTTGAAAATTGTTGAAATCGGACTAAAATTGAGGCCGCTTTTCATATAACGGTAAATTTCAGAAATGCTTGAAATTTCAATATTTCGAAATTTAAGGACGCTAATTTACTTATCATGTAGCGGTAGGTCGGAAAGGAGGAAAACATATATTTAATACTTGCGCCGGGTATTTAATGTTCGGCTCAGCCCGAACTTAGACTTTGTTACTTGTTAAAGTATCACTTTTGTTTCACAAATTTATGTTATACTAGCGGTATCCCGGTGTGCTTCTCTACACCAGATATTGGAAAATTGATGAAAAATCCTGGAATATTTCTATATGAAGATTTATCATTTGTTTTATTTCAAAATGTTTGATTCTTTATTTTTAATCTTAATCCAACACATTTGGATATACAACATTTTTTTGTTTTTCCATCTTGGGTATGAATAAATAAACAATTTTTAATGCCAACTCTTGAACAGGCCACGTATAGCTGTCCGTGCGAAAAGCACGGCTCCTCCAAATTCAATCTGCATAGTTGAAGAGTTTGTCCTGGCGCCTTGTTGACGGACATGGCAAATGCTAGACGCACTGGGAATTGCAAACGCTTGAATTCAAACGTCATGTCTGTTTTTATCAGTGGAATACGTGGTATGAGCACAATTTCATCTTTCGCTTTGCCAGTCAGTATTGTTGCTTCAACTAAATTCGCCATCAATTTTTTTACTGGCAGTCTTGTGCCATTACACAGTTTTGGAGCATTTAAATTCCGTAGTAAAATATTTGATGAGCCGACCTTTAAATTCAAACAATGTGGTGGCATACCAGGCGGTTCCATTGAATTCAAAAATTCAACTGGATAATTCACTGCGTCATCTTGATTCATTGCGCTGTCAACAGATTTATATGTTGTCACTTCATATGGCAATTTTTCTAGAATTTGATAATTGATTGAATTGACATGCACATTTTTGGTGCGCGTTCTCTCAACCAATCGTGATACAGGTAATTTTGAGCAATATTTGGAAACACGCATTCAATCAATTTTTCTTTTAATTGGAGAATTGTACAAAAATTCTTCGGCAATATAATCAAGCCATTTGTATTATCGATTCGAACTTTGCCATTTCCGATCTCTAACAATTGCTTGTGCAACTAAACACGCATGTTTATGTGTAATGTCAATTTTTGCACATATCGCCACAGAGGGGAAGACTTCAAGCATGCATTGATCTCATCTGCCGGTGTTGATCGTGGAATCACGGGCAATGTTTGTCGAAAGTCACCTGGCAATAATACCAAAGCACCACCAAAAAGCTGTTCATTTCCACGTAAATCCTAATTGTGTTGATTCTTCAAATTCCAAAATAGAAAGACCGAATATCAATGTACACCACTATTCGATAATACGATGAAATGACAGATATGTTGTGTTGTGGTGACTTTCATTCCATTGGCTCTACAAAATCCATATTGAAAAACTTGCAGCCATGTTTATACTTGACTTAATTTATCCAAAGAAAAAATAAAAACAGCACATTATAGCAACAATTTTCCACTACGATTTGAAACTTTTCGTACGAAATGATGCAACAAATTTGTGTAAAATTATTGAAATAAATTCAATTGATTATTATATTGATTTTTTTAAGCTCAAGGACGGGTTGAAATAAAACAATCTGTTTTTGTTGTTTTTAAATCGTATATGTTTAAAAAAAAATCAAGTACTAATTGAGCACTATATTGCAGTCATGTTTATACTTGACTTAATTTATCCGAAGAAAAAATAAACACAGCACATCATAGCAAGGATTTTTCACTACGTTTTCGATTTTTCATGTATCTGCTGTTGTACCATATACGTGGTTCACGTGACAGACATAAACTGTCATTTATCATGAACCGCTGGACCGAATTCGGGCACACCTCACATAACCCATCTGCATGATAGTCCGAATAAAATAAATAGAATTCGTGCACTTATTTTTTTTTATTTAAGATGGGGAGTATGGAATTATTTCATATGTCTCTATACCAATTCCAGTAATCTACCACAAATATTTCAAGAGATATACCAGATGAAAATTTTTGTTAGTATGGGTGGTGCCATGCCCCCTTTTCCGAATTCGAGGAAACTTAACACAAACCATCTGCATAATAGCCCGACTATGCCATATAAATTTGGTTGAAATCTTGCACTTCTTTTTTATATATAAGATGGGAGGTGCCACGCCCTCTTTTCCAATACCGCCCATTTTTCTCCATGAGTATGGAGTTATTTGATATACCTCTATACCAATTTCCAATACTCTACCACAAATATTTCAAGAGATATACAACATAAAAATTTTAGTTAGCATGGGAGGTGCCACACCCCCTTTTACGAATTCGGGCAAACTTCACATAAACCATCTGGATGATAGCCTGAATACGCCGTATAAATTGGGTTGAATTCGGTGAAGCCGTTATCAAGTTATAAGCTCACACCAAAAACGTGTACTTATTTTTATACATAAGATACATATGGCACGCCCCCGTTTCCAAATTTGGGCAAACTCCACACAAAATATGTGCATGATGGCCCGGTTAAGCCGTTCTCAAGTTATAAGCTTACTCACTAATTTTTATATATAAAATACAGGCGCCAAGCCCCCTTTTCCGAATTCAAGCAAACTTCACATAAACCATCTGTGTGATAGCCCAAATATGCCGCATAAATTTGGTTGAGTTCGGTGAAGCCGTTCTCAAGTTATATGGTCACAACAAAAACGTGCACTTATTTTTATATATAAGATTAGAAAATAACTAATTATTTTTTAACGCAGAACGTAAGCTATCCTTTCAAAATTTTACTGCAAAGAAACATATCAATCGACTTATTCCGTTTTGTTTTATAGCAGTTTTAAAAACGATTTCATAATTTTTTACCACATTTTGGCATATTGACACTTTTATAGTTTCCTTCAAATAATGTTGAAATTATCCTTCCCAGATAGCTAAGCTTTAAAATGAAAAAAAAAACATTTTTAAATCGGTGCAGTCTGTGCGAAGTTATTACATTACATACATATTTTTGGACTTTATTTTATAAAATGTATGTACATATGTATAAATGTATGTTTTTATAACACCACTCAAAACATTGTAATTGCCATTATCATTAATATAATTAAACTTTTAATAGGACTTCTCTTAATTCCTAATGGCGAAAGTTTAGGATACTGGTTTGGGGATAACTATCAAGAACCACAAACCTCAACAATCAATACCAGAAACGGAAGTATAAATTTACATCGCGTTACTGCTTCAGAAAATATAGTAAACTTTCAATCAATAAATAAACATCCATGGGGAATATTTTTCACAGTATTGGGAACTGTACTTCTTGACTTCGATGCGGATGCATGCCAAAGCCCAGCTCGAGCCTATTTACTTGATATATGCCTTCCAGGTGAGAAGTATATTTTATCCATGTTAACTATTTTTTAATTATTATTTTTTTATTAGAGGATCATGTCAGAGGTCTTTCTACTTTTACCATAATGGCAGGCTTGGGTGGCTTCATGGGTTATTCCATGGGAGCTATCGACTGGGATAAAACAAATATTGGTATATTTAATCACTTCAAGGCTTTTCACGTTTGTTATTGATTGTTTTCTTCTAGGAAAAAAGCTTGGCGGACATGTGAAAACGGTTTTTACAATGGTCACCTTCATTTTTACCTTTTGTGTAACATTGACAATTACAAGCTTCAGGGAAATTCCATTATGGGTGCTTGCCGAATCTAAATATGGTAAGGTTAAAGGAGTAGACTCAGACGACATAAATATGGGAACATATGATGCCAATAATCAAATTACTCATGCCAGTGAGGTGGTAAGTATACATAAATATATATATACATAGTTATTTTTCATTCACAATGAATATGGCTCGTCTTCACAGCCACTTTTTTACATTGGTTAATTGCAGTCAACCATTATTAAAATCTTTATTGTAAATGAGAAGTAGTTGGCTAACATTAATCTATTAAACCGAAAAACAAAGAAGAGAAAAAGAGTGTCTGTCCAGTCAGGTTGAGTCTCCCACCCACTTCAACGCAGTCCTGAGTGAATCCTTGGCACTTCTTTGACTCCTAGCACCGAACGAGGCCCCTACGGTTGCCAGACGTACTGATTTTATCAGTACAGTACTGATTTTTCAACTCTTGTACTGATTTTATTCATTTCTTCAATCGGTACGCTAATGTCCTGATTTTTTAAAATTTGTACTGATTTGTACTAAATTTTCAATTCAAACAAAATACTTTTAAGATTTTCTTAAGGTTTTTACATAGCGTTGGAACTTCCTTAAACTGTACTGTAAAAAGTAAGAAGAAAATAATTTACTTATGTTTGACATCTTCAGATAATGTTTCATATGCCCAAGAAATTAATACAACAAAAAGTTCAATCGTGTTATGGGCATATCGCCGGGTCTTTGCCTACCAGTTGCGATAATATAATGGAGCTTAATTTATTTAAAAAGATGACTGATGTTTTTTGCCGAGTGCTGCTAGTTATCTCGAAAATAACCTTCGTTTTAATAACAACAAATTTGAATATTCGAATGGCTTTTGCCTATAACTTATAACTTTTTTCACAATTTACTGACACTGTAAAAGAGTATTGCCTAAAAGACATAGAGTTAGATACTCTTTTTAGCGAATTCTTAGACTTTCAAAGTTTTTGCGTAGTTGAAAGAATTAATTAGAGCCATCAGGAATTATATATGAAGTCCTTAAATAGTGGTACTTTTCCACAGTTTGGAAAAGTATGTAATTTTGTTTTCTTCAATACTACAAACAAACAAACCAACTGAGTGCATTTAAGGTATGAAGTTTGCTTGCTGGCGCAAAGAGAGCAACCGGCTTCTAATTAAAATTATTTAAAGTGAACTTCATATTAAAATAATTTTAAAATGAAATGTATAGAATTCTTTGACTGAAGATGGAAATTAACTGATTATTGCTATTCAAAAATGTCATAAACATAAAAAAATTTATTGGCTTCTGTGTACATTGATGCGTACACTCATGTTAAAATGAATAACACTTTTATTTTTTTATGAGCTATATTTTATTTATATACCATAATATTGTTGAAAACAAGGACTCTGGCGTTTTAAAGTATTATCTGTTACTTACATTCATAACTTTGCTTTGAACAAAAATGTACTGAAAAGTACTGATTTCTTTTGGCATAAAAAAGTCTAACGTACTGATTTCGCGTATAAAAAATCTGGCAACCCTAGATGCCCCCTAACCTGGCTTGAGTTCGTCTGTCGGCAGTCAGTTATCTGAAGTCCGTCACTTCACCCAGTCATCACTCCCACTTCCCCTCTGTAGCACAAGTGCCACACCCACACCAAAGTAGTTTAACCCCTCATTAATGCCATTACATCCATCTCAACCACTTAAATTCATCTTGTACAACAAAAGTTTATTTAGTGTGTATTCCCTTAATCTAATACAATTGATTAATTAGTTCATTGAATTAAACTAGAAAACAAGCTCAAGTAAAGCGCATGAAAAATAAACTAAGAAAAATAACTACAAATACTATCGCATTCGAAATTACTTGGAAATTCAAATAAAGCAAAAGTAACTTAAAAACAAACCGACCTAACCAAAATTATTATTTAATGACCTACCACAATTCAACTAGCGGGAACATTAATTTGTATTACCGCGACCCTATGGTGAGCTCGTTGCATATATTTAAACCTATATATGCATGTTTATATACACATATATAGTTACCAGAAGAAAATAAAATGAATAATTACCCACTGGGAAAATAGGTAAGCACCTTGCGAGGTAAGCCATGTTTTCTTTCAGTTTTTAGTACCAAAATTGTCATCATGGCCAATGTCATCTACTAGTAAAGGGCAAAATGAACACCTCCGAAGACACATTACGTTGTCAGTTGCAAAATAACGTGCAGCCGAAGTTATTTCCAAGCACCGAACTACTCCGAGCGACTGCTCTGCATTACACGTAACTTACTTTGTAAAGCGGCTCAGAAGTATATCTGATACCAAATGTACATTCTAAATTCCTACATACATAAGGCGGCCATGCCTTTGTAAAAGTAAGGGACGTTCGGCAGGGAAATGGTAATGACTGCCAGGTGAAGAGTAAGTTGCTAATAAGGTATTATTACGTGCTCCTAATTCCCACTGGGTACTACTGAATATATGTATATGTATGTGAAGTACTTTTTTGAATATATACGTGCAAAGAAGTAGCCCTGTGGGGAAAATCTCTAGTTTTGAACTGGTGCGCTTCTAGTACATTTAGACCCAGTACTGGTCCGCGATAAATCTCTTTTGCATGCAAGCAACTGGCGAATTTATTATGGC